TTTTTTTAATAACAAAGCATAGCAAAAGACAACAATTTGCTTTAAGCAGGGCTATATGGTCACAGTGAGCTTCAGATTTCTACTTCAAATGAACGAAAATAAATTGTAACTATAGTTAGTGCACTCCCTTGTACATAATCACAGCCCCAAATTCCTCTTTTTTTTAGTCTTTTGAATTCATGACAGTTAATCCAGATTGCTGGTTTTCAGGAATTGTTCTTGAGAATTCTAAACTGACCTTCCACTATTCCACACCTCTGCTGCTCCTCCCTTTTTTTCCCAGCTCCCCTTTCCCCGATGCCCATTAATTCATGGACTCCACTGGAAATCCTCTATGTAAGGGACATTTGTGATAGGAGTAAGGATTAATGACAACCAGTCAAAATTAAGTGTCTGGGGGTTGCACTCACTATCTACAACTAATTTTGAACTGCTGTAAAATTGCGTATTTTCTAAAATATACCTTAATGTGTAAAATGAATTTTTAAAATCATCATTAAAAGTCACACTCTATCCAGTTTAGCATGGAAATGATCACATACAACTCAAAGGGAAGGGGACACTTAATGGATCTTTTTCTTAAATGGATGTTCTCCATAGAAATATTTTTATTTACTTGAAAAATAGAAACCCAAGTAGAATAAATCAGAAAACAATGCGAGCAACTGGCTCTCTGAAACTACAGAAAGGAGAGCATGGGCTTTTAAATCCTTCTATAAAGATCAATAAGCAATTGATTTTTTTCAATAATGGCTTAATTCTACAATATATTTCTTGAAAACTTTTGCAACATGATTCACCAGTATATATTTTCCATGACTCTGAAATATGGAAGCAAGTGTCCATTAATTTGGCAAATACCTGTAAATACTGCATTACACAACTACCACAATGTCCTCAGAAGGGTAAATGCTAGTCAGCACAAACCAATTTCACCTCTTTATTTTACTCACATAAGTAGTAGTATGTAATGAGAACTCACTGCTAATTAAAATTAGGTATGATCTTTAAAGTAAGAAGAAATGTTTGAAGAAGTACACACCAGACTTACCTTTAACATAAAGTAAGATGTCTAACAATTACACTATTTCAGTCACTTGCAGACCAGAGTGGATCAAGACTTAATATAACCCACAAATTAATACAGATGCTTTTTCACAACAGGCACTAATACCAAAATAAAATTGTCTGATCTAATCTTTCCTTCACTAAAATCTCAAAAGGCCACTAAAGTGATCTCTACCTACTTGAATTTCACTCGTAATACAATTTGCATTAACCTACATTTATGTAAGGTATGTTTCAGAGTTAAGTCTTTCATAAAATTTATAAACATTCAATTATATATTCAGAGTGGTCAGACTAAAATATCTGTAACACCAACAGACAAATATAAAAAATTTGATTATCGCATAAATTGTTGTGAATTGCAAAAGTATAATGGTATAGCCGAAGAAACACCACGAGAAGTAATTTCAGTAAAATCTGACCACACGCTAGTCATATATTTCTGTATCAGTCATTCCACACTAAACTGACATTACCTGAATACACAGTGTATTTTATCTTGTTTTTTGTTTTCTTTTTACCAACAATATAGCTGTAACAAAGTATAGGGTTAAGAAAAGACTATCATAAAGATAAAAATAAACAAGAAAATAACCAAAAGCCAATCTCCTTTGACATTTGGAAATCATTTTATATGAGTGAATATCAGCGACAGTAACTTTAAAAAGACCTTAAACATTCACTGCCAGCATCTTTGGAAAAAGAAGAAAATGACAAGGTAGGAAGAAACCGTTAAAAAGGGAGTAAAGCATAATCAAAACAAAGTATTTTCCTTCTGCCTCCTCTTGAAGAAAACATCAAGACGATGTTAATAAGGAAAATGAGAAAGGTACAGAAATTGCTTCACTCATCCTTTGATATGTTAATAAAATCAGACACAGATGCAATAAATGAGATATTAAAATCTACTGTTTTCATACCGTCATTAAGTGCCAATCCTCAGGGCCCTACACACCTGCGACTGAGTTTATAAATTCCTCTTGCATCATTCTTTCTCTCCAAAATCTTACCCTTCTGAAAACTGTCAACTTTTTAATGCTAAAGTTTCAACATAATCCCAACAATAGCTCTACTTCCACCTGAAACCATGTACTTCTGTTCTCTTTTCAGCATTTGCACCATTAATGCTGAACTGAAACAATGTTGAATATCAGATTATGAAGAAATGTGCCTTCATCAATGTTGTAAGTTTATGCTAAATTTATTGAATTTCAGTGTTTAAAAAGCATATTAAATTAGAATTGGTAGTTCAGTTTACTTAAGGAGTATATTTGAATATCAATAAGGTTCCTTATTGATTCAGTGAACTTAAACCTTAAAAAGGAAATACTTTTATGTGCTCAGTGATACTCAGATTTTTACACTTTGATGTGACAACTTTATGTTGTGCTGACACATCAGAAGGAATTGCCTTCCCCCCAAAACAGAGTGGAAGTGTGTGGTATTTTAAAGCATTCTGGGAAAATGCAATTTGAGGTGACCTCTTAAAAAGTCAAATTACAATTTATGCTTTTTTATTATTATTTACAAGGAATGCAAGTGAAGTTATTAGTGGCATTTTATATTTTTATATCTAAAGTCAGTTAAGTCAGGACTAAATACAATTGTGTCCTCAACATGTTGATTAATCTGATCACTCAGGATCACTGGTCATAACTAATGTTTGGCTAGAACCTTGTAATGCACAGAGGAGAGAAAGCATCCAATTTTCTAGTTGTATCAGGACTGTTGTTTGGAAACAATAGACTAATTCAATGGTGGTTAGAAAGAAACATTGTTTCAATTTACTTGGAAGAAGCTTTGTTCTGGTAATCATAGTTCCCATGTTGAGTTAATGCCTTAAGGTATAAAATTTTCAAACACTACCAAATAATCCTGTGTATTAGACTTTTTCATGAGGACACAAACTACTGATTTTAATTCCAAATCATACATCAGCATAAAAATAATCTTTGCTGCATAATAAAGAATCTCAAAATCATGGTCATCATTGCTTTGCCTACCATCATATGGTTATGAGGCTAAAATTAAAAATAAATGAAGACATTTTGTATAAATTACTGTAGTGGCATTAAAGTTATATTTAATGATTTAAGGGTAACTGTTTATCCAAGATTTATGCTTCAGATCCCAGATTTTATAGGGCTTAATTAAAGTTCATTTTGACTGGAAAATGCTAAGTCCTGTTCCATGCCTTTTTTAATAGTAAGGGAAATGAAAACACCACCATGGTGAGGATCAGAACAAAGTGCACTAACAGCCCTTGAGAATTTCCTAAGATCATTTTTCTTTGCACAACTACATCTTATAGATCACTGTAATCATTTCTTACAAATGGTTTAGCCAAATCAACCAGTTACTCAGTTTTAAGACAACCAAGCACATTCAATCATGAATTCCATCACCAAAACTGCGATTGAAAAATTTTTAATATAGCATGTCTTTTAACATTTAAACACAACAGCTTATGCGAGAAGAAACATCTCCTTACTGAAAATATTTTAACCTTCAAATCAGAATGACAGCAATAAGAAGCTGAAGTAGTATTCTTCTACATAAAAGATTATTCAAATAATAGACCACTAGGTGTTTGCCTTAAGACACAGAAGAGCCAAGTTTTTTTTTTCCTTTGGAAGAAAAACTAAGCCTTTAAAGGAATAGAACACAGCCTACATCTAATTACTTTCCCCCAAAAGAAAAGCTTACTTCTTAGAGAGGAGAGAGACACCTCAGTGTTAGGATATATCTTTAATAGAAAAATAGTTCTTAAAAAGAGTTTCAAATAAAATCTTCAATGACTAGTTAATGCAAACAATGAATATCACCAACATTAAAGAAGAAACCAGAAATTATTATGTGCAAGTAAATCACTGTGTCTACTATGCCTTTCAAAAAAGAAAAAAAAAAGCCACCAATTAATCAGTGTTTCCTCTCTACAATCACATGTTTATATTCTCCTTCACACCTAGAGTGCCATTTATAATCCAGTGTTTATCTCAACTGGGGAGATGGGTACCAGGCAGAGAACTTAGCCCCTACCAACAGATACATCTAAATTTAGAATTTTTTTTCCTGGTAATTCCATTTTAACAGATGTTTTTGAGGTCAAAGAGAAATGTCAGTTTATTTGTATGTGCCTGAGAAATGAGAGAGGAGAACTGAAGCTCTGCAGTGTTGCCCATCAGGTCTCTATTTGAGAACTTGTAATAACATTTGAAAGTAGGATTTTGTTTTGCACCATGCTGCCACCAATTCCTTTCTTAAAGAGACAGATGAGCAGACACACCATCTGCTGTAGGTCAGGGGCCCTGTGGCACAGCCCGCATCTAACACCATGGCCAGGTACACTGGTCTCTGCTTTGCTTTTAGCTTTCTCAATACTCAAATTTTTTGACGCAAGGTTCAGTTTGAAGAAAACAGCGCATCGTTACTACGGCTAATTGTTAACCCTTTCATCTCCTCAGGCTAACACTTCACAAAGGTACAAATATAGCAGCACCACTTCTGATGATGCGGAAATACGGAAGTACTTGTCATTGTGACCTAAGGGCATGTTCTAAAACAGCTCAAATGCAAATGAACAGGATATTATCAGACATTACAATGACAGCCCCTGGAATTGAAACAATTTTTACTTAAGATACCTGTTAATAAGCAATGTTATATCAAATTTTTAAATAAAATCGGCAATCACTAACCAGTGGGATACTGAACACCATTATATCAGGAAAAAAAACTGGAAATGGTTTTATATAGATAATCACTTAGATTGTCTTTCAACTGTGCCTACTCTCAAAAGACCACTTAAACTTATTCACATGAAATAGCACATGACTCTTTGGAAAACACACACAAATAAGTGAATGTTTCCATTTATAATTTATCTTAAAGGTACCCTTTTTAAGAAATGTAAAACCATAACTCTTTCTTACCTCGAATAACCGTTAGAAAAAACCGATCGACCGGGGAAGTTCAGGGTCCCCAAGGAAGTCAGGCTGTCATCTCCAGAACCCTGGCATCTATTCCAATTTTCTGAACCAACAGGAATTGGTGGAATGACATTAAAAATAGGCTTCTGATCCTGCTGCTGAGAGAGGGCTGCTGTATTCATGTCATAGTGGTACATCTGTCCTCCGGAGGTGCTCACACCGTGAACAGAAATGGCTGACATTTTATTACTAATTATATTTGGCCCAGAAAAGCTTGCCTGACAGTAAACTGGGCCCAGTTTCTCTTGCTTAATTACCCCAGGGGTGCAGAGCTCAATGAAATCTTCTTTTTCTGTTTTCACTTGGGGCAGTGGCCCAGTGTTGGGGCTTGATAAGATCAGATCTCCATTATCCTTAATTTTAGGCTTAGTGTCTGGTAAAATGAGAGGCTTACAGTCCTCACTTGAGTTTCCTTCCAAAGGGAACGGATCATCCTCTCCGGCCAAAGGAGAAAGCAGACAGCTTTCATCTATCAAGATGTCTGATCTCCAAGGGCTCTCACTCGTTTCTTTACCTGGGGACTCAGAAGAAAACTCCAAGTCCTGGAGTTTTTTTCTCCAAATGTCAAAGGTGCTTTGGTCTGTGGTGTACAACTTCACATTGCCCCCATTGGTGCCAGGCTGGCCCTTCATATTCTGCTGTTCTGAAGACACATTAGAGTTAGTTTTTGGAAACTCTTTTTCTGTGGGGGCAGCAGAAACAGCAGCAGATGCTGAACTTTTGGGGTTCTCTGGAACGCTGGTCGACCTATTGAGGTTTGCGATGCTTTCTTCCAGAAGCCGGAAATCTGTTTCCCCAGAGGAAAGGCTGATTTGGCCCTGCTGTGGGAGTCCCAGCTCATTTCCCATCACTTTTGTTTCTGTTTCTCCCATATACAGTCCCATTGAGAGTGAGACTGCCTTGGACAGATCTGGCTGCTGTGCATTGCTTCCTGAGCCTTTTGGAAAATCAGCCAGTGTTCTCTGCTGCTTCGAGTCGGCCTGCGCAGCAGCAGCCAGTGACGGCGAGGAGGCAGAAACCTTGGCCGCAGCTCCTCCCCGCAGGCTTTTGTAGAAGTCCATCACATTTGCCCTCTCCCGACTGAGCACACTGCTGGGGATTTCTTCTCTACTGGGGGAGCTCAGTGATTCCTTGGGGTCCATCAGTGAAAATCACCTACAAAAAACATTTAGAAAGAAGGGGGGGGGGAACATAATAAGCCATAAAGCCACATGATCTCTGATTTGATTAGTAAGAACCTGTTATTGAACCTTTTTAGTTAATTCCGAATATAATTCTTGGTTATCAGAAAAGTAGTTTTTGTCTTCCGGAATAAAAAAGCCATGTCCCCTGCTCCCATTCACGGGCCACATTTAAAAGTACAATGCAGTCCATTTGCATAGCTGAGGACCAAATCCTATCAGACTAAACTTGGCTCTTCACCCTGCCCCTCACAGAACTGGAACTTTGTTAATCAAAGCCGTTATAGTTTTTTTTACATCTGGTTATTCTAAAGGTTCAAGTTGATTACGAAGTATTTAAGTAAAAAACAATTGTTAAAAATTCTCTTTTCAATCAAGGCTATCTGCTGTTCTGAGAACTAATATATATAAAATTCAATAAATAGTATGCTAGAATTTTCTATTGTTATTTGCTCCCAAACTCCCCTCCTACCAGCTCATCACACATCCAAATCTTTTAATACAACCTGCAGTGATACAACCAATAGTGATAAGCTCATCTTCCAATATGCTAGGAAAAGGCTCTTATTTTTACCCTGTATTTCATACTGAATCTGCCTAATAATAATGCCTGCCTTCAAATTTTGTACATGAAGACACAAAATAATTGCATATTTGGCTTTTAAAAAGCAGAATAGAATGTGCAGTAGCTTCTCACAATTACAGCTTATTTAGCTGTAACAAATATATCTCTCTAGATCTCTGGACACAAAATCTAGATGAAGCTGTATTTATGTTTTTAAACTGCTTAAGACCCTCAGTATGAAATAATTTCTAAGATTTTTCCAAGTATTGAAGTACTGGAAAATAGAAAAACACAGAACTGTAAGATCACATTCATATACACCCAGGTAAAATAATATCCAATAAAATGCTCAGAATAATGTCTCCGTATTCTAAACCTTCACCTATCCCAATTCTGAGCCTATTCTCAAGAGGGTTAGGCTGCTAGTATATCGTTAATAATCTGGATGTTTTAAGAGGCAAGCAAAAAAGACTTTGGTATATCAGCACATTTGCGACAACAGAGTCAAATCCCGTCCAAAGAAAGGAAACTTCTGTACGGAGCCTTTAAGGAGCATAAACTTGAGTGGCCCTCGCTGAAAGGGGAGTGTGAATAAGGTAGGGAGGGGGATGAGGACGTACACTACCCATCTTGAGGGTGAACTGCTTCTCCCCCCGTCCCTCTGCCGCGTTTATCTGATAACGATCTCTAAACACAATGTATTACATGGAGCCTAATGAAGTTCCATGCCGCTTTGACAGCTGCTTTCAAACTCGAAACCAAAACAATACTTAACAAAACTAAACGATTCCTCAAACCGTATCCCCCCGTTTAACAAATAACCCTGTTACATTAATCGGCCTTAATGAACCGTGCCAGGGGGCCTTAAGTGGTGGTTGGTCTAAGACTGCAATTACCACGTCTGCAACCCCAAACGTCAAACTGGCGCTCGTCTAAAATCGCATCACAAAACTATTACGGTTTAGGGAGGATTTTTTTCTAAAAGGGGCGACTTACAAACGTCAGGCGCGACAGGATGCCAAACGCTGAAGAGCAAACCCTTTCCCGGGGGAGAAAAAAGTGCGAAATTAAAAGAAATGTGTCCAGACCTGTTGAGTTCTTTTTCCGACACGCCCACCTCTACCAGATAACGCAGCCCCGGCCGAAGTCTCCCCGCTGCAGGCCGTCGGTCCCCCGCGCGCACACTCGCTCGCACGCGCACACACACACACACACCCCGCGCGCCGCCCGAAGTGAGACGCGCCGGAGCCCCGACAGAAGCCCCGATCGCGCCCGGGCGCCCCGGGGCGGAGCGCGGATACTGGGGCGAACGGGATCCAGACGCGGCTCAGCGCTCACCATAAAAATGGGTGTCTGCGCGGCGTCCTGGGAGGGAGCAGGAAGGGGACCCGGGGGGGGGGGGAAGGCCGCGGTCCTGCTCCGGGGGGCGGGAGGCGAACCTGGGCGGCCGCACTCGCAGAGCGCTCACGTCCCTCCCCGGGCCCGGCGCTGCCCTTCCGTCGCCGGGGCCCGGCCCCGGGGCTCAGGGAAGTTGGCCGGCGACCCCGAGGCGGCCCCCGCCCCGCAGCCCTCCGCGCCCCTTACCTCCGCCCGGCGCCGCGGCCACCGCCGCCGAGGTAAACAACTTGGCGTGTGTTCGGGAGCGGCAGGAGCGAGAGATTTTTTTCTAAAAAAAGGAAGTAAACAGCCGCCCCCTTTCCACGGGGGGAGGGCAGAGCCCCTGTTCGTGGAAGTCTCCCATGCCCCGGCCGGCGCGGAGGCCCCCGCGCCGCGCCCGTCCCCGCGCGCCGAGGCTCTCGGGCGCGCGTCCTCGGTGCCGGCGCCCCGTCGCTCCGGCCGCTCCGGCGGCGGCGCCCTCCACCCGCGACAGCGCGTCCCCGACGGGCGGGCGGCGACTCGGGCTCCGCCACAGACTCGAGCTCGCAAAATGGAGGCGGAGCAGGAGGGGAGGGGAGGGAGGCAGCGCGGACTCGCGAAGGGGCCGCCGGCCGCGGAGGGCGAGCGGGCCCGGGGCGGGGGCGGGGCGGCGCCTCGGCGCGCACACAGTCGCACACGCGCGCGCTCGCACCCCGCCCCGGCCGCTCCCGCCCGAGGGCCCTCGCGGCCGCGGAGAGCGGTGCAACCTGTTGGCGACGCTCCGCAACTGCAGGCGCGGCCGCCGCCGCGCCCCCGCCCCCGGCCCCGACGGCGTCCGCGTCCCAACGTTGCCCCTCGACTCGGCCCGCCGCCCCCGGATCGCGGGGCCTCCCGCGCCCGCCGCCTCGGGAACCAGGGCGCCCCGGAAGGCTGACCGAGTTCCTATAGTATCTCCCTTCGCCGCCTCTTCCCGCCCCCGCCCTGCGGCCCCCGGCCCGCAACGGAGCGCGTCCCGTCCCTCGGCGGGGACAGCGGGCTGCGCAGGGGAGCGGGGCTGCTACTCCCCGCCGCCCCGGGCCAAGTTGCGCGAAGTGTGTCACTTCGCACGGAGCGACAGGATTGCACGGAAACGGGGCCGCGGCGGACCAGCGGCTCTCCGGGCCCGACGGCCCGACACGCCCTCCAGGGAGCCTGGGGGGTGCGAGGGAGGGCAGCGGGGGTCGGCGCGTACGTACTCTGGCCGGGGGCCGGCGCGCGCCGGCAGGTCCCCCACCCCCGCCTCGCCGGGCGGCCCCGTCCGCCGCCGCCGCGCTCGCGCACCGGGAGAGAAGTTGCAAAGCAGAACGCACCCTCCCCCGCGCCCGGCCGGCCCCCACCCTCTTCCCCGAGTCTGCGAGGCGGCGGCGGCAGGAGGCACCGCCTGCCAAGTTCAGCCTCCCCCTGCCCCCCTCCCTCCCAGCGCGCTCACACTTGAAGGAAGTTGCACGCCAAATGCAAAACCTCAGGCGAGCTGGATTTCTTTGCACTTTATTACTATTTTTAAGGAAAGCAGCGGGTGGCACAGCTAAAAGCAAGTTGCAAGCGAAGTAATAAGTCGCTTGCAAAGTACGCTCTCCCTTCCCCCACCCCAACTGCCGACCTCCCCTTGCACCCCGTCCGGGCCCGCGTCCAAGTCGCTCACGGAGGCTCTTCCCCGGAATCTTGACATTCGCTGCTCGCGGCTCTACGCGCCGCCCCCGCTTTCGCGTTCGCGGGCTCCCTGCCCTCCAAATCGAACACAGCACGCGCACTTTAAAACGCCAGCATTGAACTCCCTCCAGCTGTTCCCGTTACGCGCCCGCCCCTCGGGCCCAGGGAAGCACGTGGCCTTGCCCCTAGGCGGGGGGCGCGGGGCGTCGGCGCGCGGGACCCCGTCCCACGCCCCCTCGCCAGGTTGCCGCGCCGCGAGGGCTTGGACCGCGCCTCCCCCCGCGCGGCACACGCGGTTTCCTGGTTCGGGGAGGGTGATGCCGCGGCGCGCGGGGGCTCGGGAGGTGACGGGGGCGGCCCCACAGGCCCCGGACTCCCCGCAGGGGCGGAGGCCGCGTAGCCCACCTCGTCCTGCCCGGCGCCCGGCCGCGCCGCCCTCCCCGCAGGCCGCGTCCACGCGCGGGCGGCGGCCGCCTCCGCTCGTGCGTTTTGAAGGGGACTCGGGCGGCTCGTGCCGGAAGCCGGCCGCCGCCATCTTGGTAAAGGGCGCTGACGCCGGCCCGGCTGCCCGTCCACCATTTTGGAACAGAGTCCCGCTTGCGGGCAGCCGGAGTCGCCTCCCCTCAGTTCTGAAGAGTAGGCGCTGCCCTAGGGCTGACCGGTGCGGCAGGAGGGGGACAGGCTTCGAGCGGGCCGCCTGTCCGGAGACGATCTGCTCGGGCCTCTCCGGGCGATTCCAGGGCCGCCATCTTGGCAAAGGAAGGAGACGCTCCCGCCTCGGCCCCGGGGGCCAGAGCCTCTGCCGCCCTAGAGCCCCCGGCCAATGTGGCTTCTAGCGTTCCAGTTGGTGACCAAACCCCTTCTGGGCGCCCTGCGCGTTGACCCCCGGGCCTCCTGGCGCGTGTCCCCACCTTACAGGTGCCAAGATCATACCCGACCGGGACCCGCTTCCCCCCACCGCCAGCAGGGTCATGGGGGGGAAAAACCCAAACTTGAAACGTTACGCATGTTTCAAAAGTGAGTTAAATCACTCACAATGATGTAATTATCCTACTTTTGCTTTCATTTGCACCTCATTTCTCTGACCTGTTCAGATTCCGGGCGTTACTCTGCCTCTAAATGATACTCGGTATTACAAGAGTTACAAATTAATTCACTCCCTACTCATTTTTTCCCTGCAGTTACAGCAGATGGTCTTAAAATAGAAGACTCACGTTGCTTTAAATAAAAATGGCCATTGAACGCTTCCACATTGAGCAAACATACGACATATTTCTTATTTTTCTTTTCATTGGTCTGAATTACTGTTCTATTTTTTAATTTGGTTGAAAAAATTCTTCAACGTTCAGTTAACTTAGTCTTCACGTTCATTTAATATGCATAAACTAGATTAACTCTGTTTGTCAGCGTTAGAATTGTTACGCTTTATGGTTAACATTTATTGATCCCCTTTTCTCCCCCAACCGCCTCCCATTTTTGCTGCTAAGAGCCGAGAAGATAGGTAATTTACTCTGATTTCTCAACATCAGGAAACTGAGGCTTCCAGAGGTTTTGATACTTTGGTCTAAGTTACAGCTCCTAAATGGAGGGTAGAATTAGAGAATATTAAAGAGGTTTTTCTTCACTGATCTCCTAATTTCTAGGAAAGAGGATGTAAATTCCATGATAAGCTTGCAATAAACGTGTATGGAATTTAATTCAAGAAATGAAATCCAGTGTGCCAGAAAGAACATGAGATTAAGCATGGTAGTAACAACAATTCTAATAATAGGTAACAATAGCTTCTATTGTCTGCCAGGCACTGTTGAAAGTGTTTCATATATGCTCTCATAGGTCTTTAGGTAGGACAATTACTAATCTGTAACCCAGGGAAGTTATAATTCGTAAGAAAGGAGAAATAGGATGAATCTCCGTCTGAGGGGGAATGTATTTGCTTGTGTCAGAAGTAAGATGGGAATGACGGCGATATATCCAAGCCCTATGAAGGTGACGACCTGATCTATCGTATTCATTGCTGTATGTTCCACTCCTGGAACACAATTTGGAACTGCAAACATTTTAAGATTATAATAAAACATTGGGTCAACTAGACATAATATCACTTTTACTGGGTTGTTATGGAGGCCAAATGAGTTAATGAAAAGTGTACAAACATTTCTCAAAATCATCATTTGTACTGTCTCATGTTTAAACACCTTAGTGCCCTCTCGCTAAAAAAAAAAAATCCAAGACCCATTACTGTGTGTCCTTAGAGTGTCCTCTACTTTACACTGGTAGCACATTACAAGACAGTTCATTATTTATAGACTCATTTGTTAAATTTCTATCTCCCCCACTGGAACATAAACTCTGTCAAGACAGGGTCAGGATCTGAATTTGTCACCATTGTATCACTAGTGCATAGTAGGTACTAAGTGAGTGTGTGTTGAATGAATGAATGAAAGAATGGAGAGTCTGAGACCATATCCTAAGGCAAATAAAACCATAAACATTTATACAACAATTGATACATTTGAATTTTCCTGTTCATATGTTTTATCATTTTCATTCCCATTAAAATAACCCAAGCCTCATTGCCAGATTACTCATCCCCAGCATCAACCAAATCATACCAGGCTCCTGGCCAGGTATCTACAATAGCTCCCTATTTCCAGCGTTTACAGATCCCAGCTCCTATTCTTACATTTAAGAATGTCTATCGTCTTTCACCTGCCCCTTTCTAGAAGGCAAAGCCTTCTACCCGATGCAATTGGACTGGTATGTAATTAAATTAAAAAGTCAGTTAAAGCAAAGGAGTCATAAAAAAATTATACTTGTAAATTTTAAACTTAAAAACCTAAAACCTGTAATTGAACATGTTTCCCTTTCTCCTTTGATGAAGGTCTAAAGCTTTTGTGCACCACTGACTGAAGTTCCATGTCTTTGTTCATGTATAAACTACAACCACATTTCATCAGCATAACGTAGCAGTTAAGAACCAGACTGGCCGGTTGGCCTCCGCCACTATGAAGAATGTAACCTTGGGCATCCTAACTCTCTGTACGTCAGTTTCTATCATCTGTAAGGGGATGGTAATAGCACCAACTAATTATTGTAAAGATAAAGCAAGTTTAATACATGTCATATGCTTAGATGAAATTCCTGGGATATATTAAGAACTATTTCCTGGAATATATTAAGCATTTTATCATTAGCAATTATTAGTACTATGTAGTATTACTATTTCCCCAGTGTTTTTAAAAAGTAGAGCAAGAGATTAAAAAGTAATTACAAAATAATATGAGGGTCAATTTCTAAATGTGTGTGGTTCATCCCCCCTGCCCCAGTGTTTTAAAGTTGTCTTACATCCACCTAACTTGACAGTGATTGTTTATGTGGCGTCTTTCCATTTTGATTTTATAGAACTATTTCTTTTTTGACTCATATTTCATTTTACTGAATATTTAAATTAAGTAATCACAATAACAAGTTCACGTGGAACAAACATGTTTTCGGCAAAGAAACAAAGAATTGTTGGTAGGATTATAGCTTAACTGGTGAGGGCAAAATTGTATGGACTACACAAAGTAACGATGGATCCAGGGCTCCGCATGCCTTTGGCACCAGTCAGTACATGTCCCAGACAGAACTGAGATGCATCGCGAACAGTGTTGATTAAGAAGAGATCCTGTCAAAAAAGGGCACAGTATACACCACACTCATTCCCACTTCCACTGCTGTTGATCACATGTATTTCCTTTGACATAAGGACACCTCCTTGACTGACGCTCCGATAGCCCGTGAATTCTTGTCTTGGCTCTAGCTTCCAACTATTCTTCTGTCTGTCTTCCCAGCTTCCATAGCACACACTTAAATCTGTGATGTTAAAAGTAAATTGGAATCAAGTTTTTATCATGATTAACAATTTTGATTATGATATTTCATTGAATATGTTAATTTTATGTGAAGCTGAAACACAGGTAGCTTTGCGGGTTTGTGAGCACTTTAAAAAAATTATTCCTGTAGCTATCCTAGTGATGAGATGACTGTTTAAAATAATACCTTGACTTTGGGAAACGCATCTATTCCTATCTAACATTATAAGGTAAGAGATTCAAGGAAACTGGCTGAGCTTTGAATACCCCCTCTCTCTCCGCTGGCATATTTGTATTTCACACCAGCATGCCCATTACAAACAGTCCACGCTTAGTACAGTAAGTTCTTAATCATAGTGAATTCCACGTTGGTACTTCTCTTTATAACTGGAATTAACTCTGCCCGCACCCCTGATATTGTGCTGTTTCTCCTGATGCTTTCAATGATTTCATCATAAGCAAACCAAAATATCGCAAGTTTGCTCATGTGCATGAAATCCTCTCTAGGTGTCCTGTTAAGTCTATATTCTTTGTGCTGGCAGAACTATGCTTGAGCAATACCTGACTCAAGATAAATGAGAAAAGTGCGGCAAGCAGGACCCTCATGTTTTTGGTGCTTGGAGGCATGGGAGCAGCGCGCTGGATGACTGATGAGCGCCGGGCACCGTGCTTCTCCTTGTGGCGTCGGCGGCTGGCCGTTATGTCATTCGTTTTCTTCCCCTTCTGATTTAATCTCCTTTTTTGTGCTATATTCCTTTGGTAGAGATTGTTTCAATCTGCTCCATTTCTATGTGCAATCCCCGTACTTGTTTTTGAGAACCTGATTTCTATTATGGTCCTTACACTTTATTTATTTGTTTGTTGAGTCACACCGGGTTTTGTTTCAGAGCTAAGTTAGAAGTAGTGGGGTTTATAAGATCAAAACTTCCTTGCTACGGGAATCCCTTAATAAGGTATGAATGTACTTTATATCAGACTCTGAAGTGTTACCGAGGGCACTTGTTAAAATTATTTTATCTGATGTCAGCATTAGTTAATTAGAATTTTTCTAGCTTCTTGTTCAGTGTTCAGTGTAAGATCCGGGTTTGAGTTCCTCTTCTGCCATTTACTCAACCGAATGAACTGGGGCCCGTCATTGTCTCCTCCCCAAACTTGTTTCTCTATCTGTAAAGGAGTGATAGATACCTACCCCACCTATGTCACAGGAACTCCGTAAAGCGCAAACGGGGAGATGCATGCAGAAGGAACGCCAAACTGGGTTTGGAAACAAGGAGGGATGTATAGAATTTTAGCATCAATTCACCACAACATAAGTGATTACTAATTGTATTGAAATTGTCAGTACTGCTCGTCATTCATTCCCCAGATAATAAGTGCAATTGATTAAACCTAGAAGTTTAAACAGAGAAGTGACAGTTCAGTAGTGTGCCAGACCCGGACGAGAGAGCTTACAAGAGCTGGTTGCTAAAATGTCCAGGAATTTTGTAAGTCAATTGTTAATCATGGCCAATATGAAAAACTAAATTATTTACAAACTTACTATTAAATAAGATGTTTTTAAAACAAAGGTAATAAAGGCTCAAAACTTAACTTGTTAATTATTTCACTACGTTGTACTATTATCTATGATTTAGAGTCACTTCTGTCTGTTCTGTGAAATGGATATGCCTTATGATGGTATGATACGTCATTTTTCTTCCCAGCTCTGCATTCAGAAATGTCATTTCGGTAGTTCTACACTATAGAAATTGGAAAACATTACAAATTGGAGCTTAATTTATATTGTTTATTGTCTAAACTTAAGAAAATGATAGGAGAAATTTTATTAATGAAGATTAAATTTAAAGGTGTGTTAGTTTATGAATGACATAAAAAATGGAGGAAATATTTTTCCAGTACTTGAAAACTATTATCTGGTCAGCAAAGAAGTCGCTGACAAATGAGTGACATCCCAATGTACATCTTTGTTGTTTCACTTTCATCTTGCTCGTTAATCAACCAACATTCATGTTTGAACTTCAGTGACATGAACAACTTCTTTGCTGAACTGAATTTTAATCAAACTTTCATTTATAGTCT